GATTGTATCAACAAACGAACCACAAAAGAGAATTAAGCTATTGAAATACCACCGAGATTTGTAGATCAGAGCCGAGCGTAGTGAGAAAATATAAAAAAAATCAAAATCACTCATCCAAATTTAATCCAAAGGTTCATAGCAGAGAAGATCAATAAGATTTTGAATAAGCGCCATCTGAATCAATCGTAGTATCATCAAATCCAACACTAAAAAACATAAATAAAAGAACAGACAAATGATGGAGAAAAAAATTGAAAAACGTGTCATAAATGCAAAGATAAACGTGTCTTAAAGACAAAGATAAACGTGCAACACAATAAAATTATTCTTATTCAAAAACAAAAGAAAAAACAAAGCAAAAGAGAATCGACGATCGGCAACCATCATCAATGTCAGTGTCGCAGTCTACTAAAGAAAATCAAAAAAGAAAAAATTGATCAGATCTATAAAAAACAACAAACTCAAAGAAAAAAAAGACAAATGAGAGAGCATCTAAGGAAAGGAAAACATAGGTGTGATAATTAATTAATAAAATATGATATTTTCAAATATTATTGGGATATGTGTCATTTATTGTAGTACTATTCTTCATCTGAGTATGATAAAGTTTAATAAAATATATTTTTTATTGAAATTTGTCATTAAGATAACACAAATTTTAATAAAAAAAAGTTATATTTTATTAAAACTTGTTATATCCACGTGACAAGTACCGATAAAAAATATAAATTTTATATGAATTTAAATGTTTACTTAACGAGTTACAAAATACTAAATTAAATACCATATATTCTAAAATAAATTTCCATCAGTATATTTTAAAAACTTTTTAAGGCCATTATTATTGCGTTAATTTTGTCGAGGATTGAAATAATGATATATATTTTAATTTTTGTTTTAATTATATCATCAAATCAGTAATGTATATTATTGACATGATACTTATATTAACTAATATCGCTTTGTTGTGACTATTTTTTAATCGTACAAAATCAAAACAATATCATTGTTTTTTTTATAAATCAATTTACCTTAGTGATTAAAAGAATCATTATTATTCTTAAAGTTTACGGATTCGAGCACTAACGACTGTAGCAAGATTATTGAGTGTTCATTGTCAATTGATTAAGAGTATTTAAAACATATACTACTTTTTTTTAGATAAGTAAAGTTTTTATTTATCCAAAAGTAAGCAGCAAGCTGCTACAAAGAACATTACAAACGACTAAATCAAATCCCAAGCAAGACACAACCTCCTATTTACATTATCCAATCTGTTCACATGACTCCTATACATTTTGATTCTAACTGCCTCTCTAACTCTATCAACAATTTCCTCAGCTGTACGGATCACACCTCTAAAAAACATGTGATTCCGCTCCTCCCAAACAAAATAAACAAAACCAGTCCAAGCTAGCTTTAGTATTCGAACTAAAAGGGATTTACCTTTCAAACTCGATACCAGCCAGCGCAAAGAATTTACCCTTAGTTTTAAAAAGATTGACAAATGGAAGAATTTGGTATTGCGATCGTCGAGCTTAAATCATTTCAATCTCGACTTCTGCAACCACTCTCTTTCGTCTCTTCTATACCTCAACCTTATTTTTTTCTTCATGAACCTTTTTTTTTTTCTTCATGAATCTCTTCTTGAACCCTGGTGGAATAACCGTTTGTCAATTGCCAGTAAGGATGCTTCAAGCAATTATATTTTATTTTCCAGTTCCGCAATGCTCTCAAAGTCATTTGATTTGGCCTCTGTTGCCCACCCTTTTGTTGCAACTTTAACTTCTTTCAAGAGTGTACTTATCCCCTTCCTTTGACAGTCTTTGCTAACCTTTTTGACTATCATTGTAGCCCCGATCGTATGACCAGTGTGTAAACATTTAAATGGTCTAAGACCCCATTCAACCTTCTTTACACTCAAAAGCACAAGATTATGATCGGATAAGCTTCCGGGAAGATTATGATCGGAATAGACTTGGATAGCATACGACTACTTTAAGCGATAGTAAAAACTTGTCTAGCCTACATGCTATCTCTGAGGTGCCTCCTCTAAACCACGTGAACGAGTTACCTTCGAGGGGTAGATCAATCAGGTTACACCCATGAATAAAGTCTTCGAATACCTATATTGCGTTTGCACAAATAGGCCCCCCAACTTTCTCTTCTTCACGTCTCACTATGTTGAAGTCCCCTCCGACTATAACTGGTACGCCTAATCTAGAAATAATTGCTTCTAGCTCGACCAGAAATTCTTTCCTCTCTGCAGGGTCGTTTGGCGTGTAAACGTTAATTAGTCCGACTTTGAAATTGTTTTGCTTAAGCCTGCCTACCATCAACGCCATCCTTCTACTCAATTTTAAGTCTTCGATCGACATAAACTCCGAATCCTAGAGTGATATGAGGCCTCCCGATGCCCCATCTGAGGGAACACAAGCACACCCACCGTAAACCTTCTCTTGGAGACTCTTCAAAATCCATTTGTTGTCCGTTTTCATCTTATGACCACTCTGAGATTCCTCGTCAAGTATTTCAAATCTCCTAATGACCACTCTTTCTTCCCCATTAAATTCAAGTCCAAGTCTTGCCCCGATTTCAAAAGTCGCTTCTGCCTCTGATATGCATTTACGCCTATTGGAGTGTTCAATGCGCGTGGGTTCAGTTGTGCATAGGTCATTAGCTCCTTCCTTTTCCCTTTTTTTTGGCCAACGTTTTTTCTGCCTCCCTTTTGATGTAGCCTTTTTTGTGACTTTGCTTTCTTACTGAAATGTAGATCCACTGGAGTCTCCTACAGCACTACCTGGAGCGTAGGAGCTTACGAGAGGCATTGGGAATTGTTTAATGTTTCGCTCATCCCATAGTTTAGATTGGACTCTAATTGATTAATGACCTTAATTGGGACATCTAGTAACCTCGATCCATTAGAAATCGATGTATTCGGCAACGACGACATCCTATCCATATGCTGCCCCAAACACTCATCTCCTCCCTACTATTCCATGCAGGACAGTCCGCTCCCAGACGCAATAGTAACTTTGTGTAGCACATCCGTATGGGAGAATTCCTCAACTGCAAGAGCCATCCTCCCCTCCGAGCACACAGGAAGAGTCGGATCCATATCATCTGCCCCTTGAAGGTAATCATTATCACATTTAGCTTCTACGCCTCTACCCTCTGTCAAAGTTTTCTATATTCCAAGTTCTTGCTCGGGTGTACCATACTCCATGACTGCAATGTCTCTCTCCATCCGTTCAAAGGGAGTTGTACCGTCAATAAACACTCTATCGCCTTCATACACCTCGGTGCGCAGAATAATCTCGGACAAACGCCCATTTACGATAATACCTACTCTGTCTGGTATGCATGATAGCTTTTGGACTGATATTAATATCCTAGCGACATCAAAGTGATTTCGGTTGGATGTATCCTCCTCAACTTTTAGAACCTTTCCCCATCTTTTTCCTAATTCGATAAAAAATATATCTTTCTAATATTGTAATGGAACATCATGCAGTGCAACCCACGTTTTGACATTCCTCTTTCCATCATACCCTTCTAACTTTTGTAATGACTCAAACTAGTGCCGAGTCATGAGTTCTCTTCTATTTCAAAACCTATCTAGATCTACCTCACTATCAAATAACAGCACAACCACAAAACCATGCCAGGGACACACCTTCAGACCTTAAAACATCTTGCACAAAATTAACGTCGTACATACCTTGAATGTCCCACGAGGCATCTTCTTACCCATTCAGTCTCCCTTCTCATCATACAAATCACCTCTGTTGGTTCTTCACCTTGCAAGTTTACGTTGTTTGGCTCGCCATCAACCACCCTCACGTGCACAACTTCTGTTAGACTATTCAACTCCCCATTGTTGCTAGGTCTTGCTTTTCCGATCAACACTTCTTTGAAAGTTCTCGCATCTCTAAGAGCAGAACTTATCCGCCTTGCCTTCTTGACTGTCTCACCTCTTTTTAGATGTCCTTCTCTCCTTTTTGAGCTAAGGTAAACCCTGATAATATGACCATCTATTCATCTCCCGATTTCACAGCACGTTTCGCCTCGTCCCAGTTTCTAAATCTGACAAAGGCGAATGTAGTCTTCATTGTCATTCTTTTCAGGTTCGAGTATGCGATGTAGGTGTCTAAAACAACTCTGTATGATTGAAATAGTTCCTTCAAAGCCATTTGGGGGACTGTCTTACTAACATTATCGACGAAAACAGGAACTCCTAGCCGATGCCGCTCCCTTTTCCAGTCACCTCCTACATTTCTTCTCCATGACTCTTCAGCTCCCACCGTGTTTCTCGATATTTTGAGACTATTATTTTAAAGTTTAATTTTTGATTGAATTCATATCTTCTTATTGTATACTTTTAAATTCCTATTTTAATAAAATCGTCTATTTTTGTCAACTTGGCTCCTCGTCTGAATTTTCAAATAAATTGATTAAATTTGTATTTTAATAAATTGGTAGAAATTTCATTCAGACAGGAGGTGTATATGAATACCAGTAAGGGTGTAAATGAATCTAGCTTGAACAGATAAAGTTATATTCATGTTCGTTTATTTATTTTTAAAAATGTTTATGTTTGATTCATGTTCTTTTAAATTTTTAATATTTATTCATATTCTTTTATTTATTTTTGAAAGGATTCGCATTCATTTGTTTAACGTTCACAAATGTGTTTGTTTAATATTCGCAAACGTGTTCCTTTAACGTTCGACAACCCACACACCTTTTTTATCCTTTTATTTGCAAGCCAAAGTTTACTTTATGTTCAATTTATTCCATATCTTAACCAATATTTAAAATGTAAAAAAAAGGGAGAACAGAGTAAACGAACTCATAAACGAGTCGATAAACGGACGTAAACATAAACGAACTGAACACTTTGTTTATTAAATGAACATAAAAATTTTGTTAATCTCGTTTATTTTACTTAAAAAACAACGATTCACGAACAATTTGTCGAACAATATGTTGATTTTCACCCCTGTGAATAACCGGACGAGAGTGTGATAAGACTCTCAAAACACAGACGACTGGGAAAAAAATGAACATATACATGTGATACTTAAACTCTCGTCTCAATGATTTAGTTTTATAACATGTATAGACTAAAAATACCAGCATAATTCAGGTTTTCCATGAGAAAAACCAGGTACTAACTACCAAATGAAATAGAGTCTAGAAATACCATGGATTTAGATGCCGAATTCCTTCAAGTTATCACAGAACACAGTTATGACCCACTCGGCGACTCGGAATTGTCTTTAGCCGCAAGAGGAACCGAATGAGGAGAGCTCTCTCCACCCAACTCTGTTCTGAGTTCAGTAACGCTTTTCTCCAACTCATCTATCCTGCTGCCCATCTCATCAAGTTCATTGAAGTCAAGGAGATCAAGAAAATGTTCACAAGTTAAATGCAGTGTTCTATGTTGTTTCAAACAGGAGTATGTAAATCTAATGAAGATGAAATTGCTTCATTATGGCTTTTGTAGCACCTAAAGAACAAGGAAGAGTGAAATCAAAATTCAAAAACCCTATCATGGTTAAATTACCAGACAATATGCAAACAGGAGCCAAAACAGGCATAGGAACGAGTAAGATGCCTTGATTTTGTGTACTGCAATCTCAAACCTTTAAGACCACTAAAAGGGTCCCAAAATCAACAAAACAAGATTTACTTTCCCAGTAGTATTTCGCAGTAACTAGGCAATACGAAAAAGGATATTCTTCGCTAAGATGGAGTCCGACATTGTTTGGAATCTCGATTGCTGCAACATGTAATCAAACAGGAAACTTAGCTGCATCTTCTTAAAATACATTGTCCTTTGATTCCATACAAAATCTCAAAGCAAATGAAAATAAGAACTCACCATCTGTTGAAGTAGATTCTGAACCTGCAAAGAAAATGGACTTAATTCAGTAACGGGTGGATGAAAGTTGTTTCTAAACCATAGAACCCTCATCTCGAAGATGGTCTAACAGTTTCAAGTGCAATGTTCGGTAAATCCCCTAAACGGCATAGTTAAAGTTGTCCGGTCTGAATAACTGTGATGAGAAGGAAATAGTCTTATATTCATTCACGTTAAATTAAAGTGCAGGAGAATTAAAGAACTCACAAAAAATGCCATATCAGAAGTGTCCTGTTTTGGATCTACAGAATCATTCCCATCCTGCAGAACAAAAAATGTAAAGTGCAATCAATAGTATCGATTTAAGCTTACCGTATCAAATCAGAAAGCATGGTAGCGGCTTAAGGAAGCAAATCTTTCTACAACGAATGTAAAGTTCGAGCCAAAAACAGTGAATGAATATCAACTTAACTACACACCAAAATTTCAATCGTTCTAAAATGTCAATGTAGCACAAAAGCAACCAAAAGCAAAGCTATTTCTAGTAATTCTAGTTCCATCAACAAGCCGAAGATAAGAGGTATATAACTGAAACGGATCAGTTTCCACATAGTTAAACATATGAATCTAATACTCGAATTTACTTTCCAAACATTTCTCAGCAGCCTAACAGATCATTAGGGGGGAAATCAACATTTCGTAGCAGGTTACGACGCATCTAACTCCTTTAACAAGACAAATAAAAGAAGCATATCGTCGAACGACTCGAAACCGGTTGATTCGCATGATATAATACTTATATTAATTCTTAACAGCCAAACAAACTAGAGAAATTTTAAACCATGATTCATCAGGAAAAAGAAAACACTCATATGTTAGACTCTGACTAAAGAACAGATCAGATTCATTAACGGGGAATCAAAACCCTAACAAATAATCTACAATTAAATTTCATAAAATTAAACGAATTAGGGTTAAATAAACATTACAGAGAAATAATTTAATCAATAAAATGCAATTTACCATTCTCGATTATTAGAATCTGTCGCTGGTTACGAGCGGAGAAGATAAAAGAGAAATGACGACGTTCACGACAGGGAGATAACCAGAGTGACAACGAAGACATGAAATTACTTTTTAGTCCCTATTTTATACAAGAAAATTCGTTTAATATATATTAAAATATTATAAAATTATATAGATTTACTAATAATACATTTTTGTCACAATAATGCGAGTGACGTTTATATACAAATTTATTTAAGGATAAAAATTTAAAACAAAAATTATTTTATAAACACCTATATTATTTAAAAAAATTATTCAGTAAACTGTTATAAATATAGCTGTAAAATATTTATATATAAATTAATCAATTTTATTAGTCTAGAATTTTAGTTCATTTTTTTTAAAAAACTATTTGAAAATAATTAATAACAATATTCATTATAATTAAAATACTAATTTTTCATTTTTTTCTAACTGAAATGATACTTAATTTTTTTGTTAAGTAGAGATATTACATTTTTAAAAATGCTAACATTTTTTTTTAATGAAAGCCTCTAGTTTTATTAAAAGAAAAAATTTCTAAAATTATAATGAATGTGTACAACTATAATCGTAAATTAAACATATAATTCGGATATTTTTATATAACCATTAAAACAAGAAACTAGTTATTTGAGATCATTCAAGGACTATATAAGACAAAGGTTAAAATTCAACCAAAATACTCTAACAAAGATAAAGACGAATAGATCTAACTGCATCGGCAAACGAATCACAAAATGAAATTAAAAATACTAAAAGACCATTGACAAGCCACATATCAGAGTCGGATGGCGTGAGAAACTATCCAAGAACACAATCACGTATTCCAATCTAACCTGACGGTCCAAAGTATGAAAGATCATCAAGATAATAAATAATCGCCATATTAATCAGTCAAGACATCGTCAAATTCAACCATTAGAAAAGATGAAAAAACAAAAAGAACGATCAAACAACCTAAAAACTTGTCAAAAAATAAAAAAATGTCATAAAAGTATAGAAAATGTGTCACAAATATAGTTATTGAAAAATTTAAAAAATAAAGATAAAATATAAAAAATAAGTGAAAATAAGAAACATCGGCAATCAACAACCAAAACTAAAACTGGTGTCGCAGTCGATCAAACAAAAATATTCCTGATCACTCAACTATTTAATTGATTAACTTACCTAAAATAATACAAACATAATTTTTTATTATTATTAAATCAAATTTAAATTTTAATATAGATTTTCTAGAAAAATAAGTTATGTGTATACATACTAAGCTACAATTCAATTGACATTATTAAAGTTGTAACTTTTGTAAGGATAAGAATTCAAACATGTTTAAATACATATAGATATTTTTATTTACGAATTTTAATATTATTTTATTTATCTCAATTTTTAGTATAAAAAAATTATTTCTTATATAACTCAATTTAATAAAAAAACATTTTTTTGGGTAAACAACCATATAAACTCAAACGATTGTCAATAATGTTGTTCAAATACTGATAAAGTGAACCCACATGGTTCATGGGTAGAGAGAAACATGGCGTTGTTGGATGCGGAAATGGCTGGTTTTTGGGCGAAATTGCCGTTGATTAGGAAGCTCTTGCTTTCGCATCCGGAGATCGAGTTCCTCTGGTGGATGGACAGTGATGCGATGTTCACGAACATGGCGTACGAGCTTCCATGGGAAAGGTACAAAGATTCTAGTCTAGTTATGCATGGTTGGAATGAAATGGTTTATAATGAAAAGAATTGGATTGGTTTTAATACTGGTAGTTTCTTGTTGAGGAATTGTCAATGGTCGCTTGATCTTTTAGATGCTTGGGCTCCGATCGGTCCGAAAGGGAAGATTAGGGAAGACGCCGGTAAGATTTTGAGGGGTAGGCCGGTTTTCGAAGCTGATGATCAGTCTGCAATGGTTTACTTGTTGGTCAAGGAACGAGAGAAATGGGGTGAGAAAGTGTATGTGGAGAATGCTTATTATCTGCACGGTTATTGGGGGATTTAGGTGGATCGATAGGAGGAGATGATCGAGAATTATCATCCCGGATTGGGGGATCATCGGTGGCCTTTGGTTACTCACTTTGTGTGGTGTAAACCTTGCGGGAAGTTCGGGGATTACTCGGTCGAGAGGTGTTTGAAACAGATGGATAGAGCTTTTTATTTCGGTGATAATCAGATCCTGCAAATGTATGGGTTTGTGCATAAATCGCTGGCCAGTCGGAGAGTTAAGCGAGTCCGGAATGAGACTGGTAATCCACTTGAAGCTCAAGATGAGTTGGGTTTGCTTCATCCATCTTTTAAAGCTGTTAAGATCTCGGGTTATTCATAATATATGTCTTGGACACGTTTTCGGTTTGTTGCGTTTATCGCGGTCACAGAAGTAACGAAGTTTGTAGCGGACAATAGCATAGAGAGTGGAAATTCCTGGCTGAAATAGCTTCAATTGAAGGTCATTTACATTGTCGTTCTTGATTTTTGCTCATTTACTAGTCTATTTCCATTCCATTGCTAATCCTTCTTTTTGGGAGATCGGATGACATAATAATTTGTGTTATTAATTTATAGAAAGGAAAACATAAAGGTCAAATTGTCATCTTTTTAAGTTCAAGTACTCTAGTCTAAAATATTTCACAAACAAAAAATGTTATACGTCTTATTTAAGGTTTTAGAGTATGCAATAATATCCGTTCAAAATTTTCTTAATCAACTGATAATGCGCACACCCCTTATTACATACATTTCTACCTGAATTCAAGACTTCTAGGAATAATTAGAGTATGCAATAATATTCGTTCAAAATTTTCTTAATAAATTAATAACGCACACACCCCCCCTTACTACATATTCTACCTGAATTCAGGACTTTTAGAAAGAATAACGTTTTCTTTATCATTAAGGTCGTTTGATGGTTACTTGTGATAATAAGTTAATCTTTATATATATGGCATAGATTTACGTATTACTTTTTGGTACAGTAAATTTATATATTTCATAAATCCATAGAATGTTACATGACACGAACAATGTGACCTTTGAGGTTATAAAGAAAATTAAACAACGAAAAAGGTTTTAAAAAGTAACACTGTTTTTCTACGAATGACTTTTCAAAGCATTTCCCTTTGCCACCAAATAAGCACCGACAGCAAGATTAATGCCGCCATGAACAACCCGATATTTGTGCGAAAAAGCCGAATTCTGTCTTGGAGACCATCGGGACAAGTAGTACAATGACTATCCATGATATGAAATTATATGACTGTAACGGATGCAGCGATGAAAGCAGAGAATGAACATCTTCTGTTAACGAGGAAGTCTCTTCCAATTTAGTATCTCCTCCTCTTTCAATCGATGCTGGAACCTGGCGAGTCGAGCTTGAAGGCTCACCAAGCTGGCAGCCTTGCGTGAAAGCACAAAACTCAGCTTGGTCACATAACTATCAACTTGGCTGCCTGGTTGATCCACCTCAGCCAAAAGCTTCATTTCCTGAAATTAAGACGCAGAACACGATGAACAATCTCGACTTATCGACACGGACTTCGGTAATGTCGTATGAGCAAGGTTACTTACTTCGCGAACAATCTCCATTGTATCCTCGATTTCTTTTCTGTGAGCAGCAGTTAAAGCCTCTTCCTCCTGCAACAAACCAAAAGTATACTCGAAGATGAAAATCCTGAGAGCCCTTTTACAATACATAAACAAAATTAACTGTATTGATCTCCTACCTCTAGTACTGAACTGATACTCCCATCTGTACGAGGCTCGGGATTATATGGTCTAATTCCAAAACTATTTGTGCCATTATAGTTAGCAGCATTCGCCTGCTGGGAGTTTGTAGCAGACGAATCCGATCCCACTCCATCATTCTTGATCCAGTTCCCCATCATCTCAGAATTTTCTTCTCTAGTTGATTTTCTATGAGGAGGTGACACCTTCTGCACTTTCTCTTCTGTATCGACTGAAGTTTGAGAAGCTGACGAGGAAGTTCTTTGAATTGCGGAACCACCATAGGCGTTACTTTCTTCGAATCTCTCCTTATCCATTTGGATAGAACCTGTTCCATTTTCCTCCCTCCTATTGAAAGGTTGGCTTGAAGAAAAGGTCGACGGCAGTCGTTTGTCGAAGTCAAGATTATAAACGTCTTTCTCGACAAGCCTTCGACCTATATCAACAATTTTTACTTCCTGTGGTTGCACGTAAATATCTTCTACATCTGAGGCAGCTGAGGCAGGAGATGCATCCTTATAACTTGGTGGTAAGGAATTTACAGACTGATCTCTTTTGGAATTAGCACTTCTTGAAAGACTTTTAACCCTGTTCAATTGGATAGCAATAGTCTTTATTGAGACAGAAAGTAAATACAAATATACTGCAACAAAGTTTATTATAGAAACAAGGATACCTATCAGCATATCTCAGAGTATTCAGAGTGTGTTCACATGAACCGGCATTTGGAGAAATACAGGAGATCATAACTGTCCTTGAATGGCCAACGAAAGAGTCTCGGAGCACTTCGGTAAGTTTGCTCCCTCGGAACGGTATATGGATCTGGTCATTGTCCAGAGCACGAATGCACTCCTTAAGAGCCAAAAGGCTCTTATTAATTTCAGCACCCTCTATCCTGGAAAGAACTCAACCAACCAAGGTGTGTAGGAAACAATACATGTTAATACAGTTAACAGGAAAATTCGAACTTGCCTCGTTTGTCGGTCATTGTCGGTGGTGTCTGCGCCTCTTTCACTGCCAGCAAGATCGATAAACGAAATCTTCCCAAAAACTTTTCCGCCTTTAGACTCATCCCCATGAATCCCATCATTGTTCATCTTGGATTCTTTCACCTTGGAGTGCTTCTTGATGACAAGTTGTAAAATAGCATGTGACCTTGAAGATTCCTCATTTGCACCAGTAGAGCCTGTGCTTCTAGCAGCATTTCCTTTCTCGATGTATTCCTTCACCATTTGCACGTCTGAGACCTCAAATTCTTGCAGTCCAACAATACAGACTTGTTGTTTCCCATCTTCTCTCATAAAAAGTCTCCTATAGGAGGAAATTTAGATCGATTCATTTAGT